ATCACAGAAGGCATTAAAATCATGAAGAATCGCAGTACATTAGAAAGAGTAACGACAGCTCCTAGTCTCTGTGATGTAGCCTGTGGTGCTGCTGATCACTGATGCTTATGATGGAGCAGCTTTTGCATTTTTATCATTTACAAACTCAACACACTCGCCTCAAAATGGTCTCATTGCTGCTGTATCACTCACCAAACGCAGCTAAAGAACACAAGATATCGGGGGATAACCTCAACTCAAACTTCCAATGGTACAGTTCATTGTCAGCCTGTGTAACCTGTGTTTGCAAACAAAAGAGAAATTGAGACGTTTTGAGGGACATATAGAAGCCATGTTTTCTCCCAGAGCTTGGAGTCTATTACAAACTATGATGTCGTTTGTGTAAAAGGAAAGTTGTCCTCAAAGGAGCGACACCAGCAGCACCCACAGCCCCATCATGTCAGGACAAGAGGGGGAAATAATGAGCAAATACAAAAGCAGAGACCGTTTTCTCACTTCGGACCAGCGCTAAGTAACGATCGATAGCAGAAAACAATTTGGTTATGTTCGTCTTGTCTTCGGTTTCGATACACAGTGCCTGTTTTGAGGTTGGCTCACAGTTAGCAGCAAAGATTAGATGCAAAGATAAACAAATCTCACTTACAGAGCTTTCCGAAATAGAAAATGCTTATTCACAGCAATAAATTCAATGCATTTATAGCCACTTCAGAAAGCCACTTCACTATCAGTCTGCCCAAGACACCTATACATGTACAGTAGTATCACACCCACATGCTGCTAACATGTACAGTCGTATCATCACTGTGAATATAATAGCCACAGAGCTAATGACTTATTACTTAATTATTCTCGTGTATACTTTGTATCTGCATTAAGTTAAAGATAGAGGTGTGATTGCCTCCTGTATGAACTGTGCTATCCATACAAACTTGCCCTGCCTTCCCTTGCCATTGCAGTAGCATCAGTCACTGTAAGTAGTTGAAATATTATTGTTTATCTGAATCAATTTCTGAATCTACAGTATATATCGTCCATAAAGATGAGACGTCGTGACCAGCCGAGCGACGGTAGCAGCAGCATCTGATCTGACAGAAGAAAATAAATGATTCCATCTATGTTTGTTATTAATTATTCATATGTGAAAAAGCAACCATGACAACTGAACTGTGGCCATTTCATTACATGTTTTACATTCATGTATTATGAATGTAGAATCCCCAGAGATGTCGAATGAGTGATTTAATGATATGAATACTGCAAAAGGATGGATGTTACTTTTTTCCATTGACTGCAGTTTAAATGATTAATAGGTGAATTTGCCTGTGGTTGTGTGCTGTGTTCTGTGAGCACTGCACACGGCTCACATTCTCCACAGTTTGGCTTTTCTCCAACTGGGCCACTCCGCTTCGTCTTATCTGAGACCGTCTGAGCTGATGCCACAGCAGATAAAAGCTGTCTGTTTACACAAATGTATCATAAGTTTAGCCACCAAATGCACCACACCAGCAATCAGCAGCAGAAGTCGTGTTGTGGTGTAGTGTTGTCGCGATACAGACTTGATTACAATAACAAAGGAATATACTCAATATGCATTTATAGTATTGATTCTTTCTCAAATGCATACAGTCCTTGCTGGACTATTAAGCACACTTGTAAATAAACAGCAGCAGCTAGAGAGAAAAAAGGGACTTGCGCACATAGAGGCCACAGTTTGATACAGCTTTACCTACACAGTATACAGGGTTATATACCTTATATGTGTATATGCTCTGTATTAAGTTATAGAGATGTGATTGCCTCCTGTATGAACTTTGATATACATATAAACTTGCCTTGCCTTCCTTTGCCATTGCAGTAGCATCAGTGGCTTTAAGTAGTTGAACTATTATTGTTTATCAAAATAATTTTCTGAATCAAGATGTTCAAAAAATGCCACTTCAGAAAGCCTCTATTAAGTTGGTTTTAACGTGACAGGTTTTCATGTTGTAATTTCACTCTTAAGCAACAGCTGATGGAGCAAACGAAAGAAGATAAAGTTTTAACTGGACACAACATGATTTAATGAGGTGTTTTTATTCACTGTTGACTCAGATCCCTACAAAAACTAGATAGAGTCAAAATAATAAACTCTGTTCTTACAATAGTCCAAATCGCATAAAAATAAGTCCAGTGTATTTCCCTGCACTTCCCCTTCTCTAGAGATTGGCATACATTCAGACATACATACATAACATACACCCATACTGCACATACATACATATAATCATACAGGTCACAGGGTTTAAAGAATATGAAAAAAGCAGCAGCAACAATGGGATCTTGCTTTAGAATAATGATGCACTATTAATTAACAGAAATACTTGTTACAACCCTTTTTTTGACAACCTCGTTTTGGTGCCGTTCTTTTTTGTATTTTGTATTATCTTTAAGTCTAAAGATGACCAATCTTCCTTTTGCAAGAGCTGTATGACTGCGAAGAGAATTATTTCCTTATAATTACATCAAATCAAAAGTAGCCATTTATCCAACAGTTTCAATGCATATAGGACTAGAAGCACTCAAAAGCCAAGTGTACAATGATACAATGGTGAAGCTAATATGGCCAGATAACATTACAGAACATTTTTCCAGGAGACATTTGAGGAAGCTATGGGAAGAATACACTGCCCTGCTTCAATTAAACAAATAAGGACTAATAGTTTTCAAGTGAGAAAGATGTTTCAACCTTTTCCTTCACGTCTTTGAATAATATTAGATTAAAGAAAGTGTGGGAAATCCCTCATTCGTCCATGAGTCTTCCATCTGTTTTTCAAGTTAGAAAGGATTGCAAGGCTTGTCCAGATGAGTACATTTGAAAACTGCTTTGCAATATTAGATGAAGACTACTGGACAAAAAAGGTTTATAAAAAAAGCTACAAAAAGATAATAGTTTGAAATAATGTGTCAGTTTCACAAAAACTTTGCCAGCCAATCTCTGTCGTATGAAAATGGCTGATTATCCTGCTTTAATTGCTTTTGGCACGTATTAAGATGAACATCGCACAGTACATTTAGCTGAACTGCATTTTAGTTAATGTCAAATCAATGACAAGCCGTTCAAATTGACCACTAGAGAAAACAAAGCCGTTAAACCCAACGGTGATCGTGTTACTAATGCCTTGTCACAACAACCGAGCGACTTTATAGAGGAAATTTACAGCAGCAAATGTATGTGATTAATGATTGACTGAAATCCAATCAAACAGCTTGCAGGCTGAATCTAAAAACAGACAATTTCACAGGTCACATATACAGCATGACATAACCATTTGACATCATCACTGTTTAAGAACATTGTGTTTCATGGCAGCAGGTTTTTATCATATTGAGTGCTAAAATATCATATGTAGGTCACATGAAAAAGCAGCCATTCCTAATAATCTGATTAATCTCAAAGCTGTCAGGTGAATGTAATGCATGTAAAGAGCATATGCTTGGCACAAAGGGCACGTATGAATGCATGGGCTGGACAATGCATTTGCTGGTGAGGCCACATTCAATGAACAAAGCAGTCTTCTACGCACACACAAACAAAAAGAGGCCACGTTACTGCATGGGAAAGGGGCAGGCAGGCTGGACATACAGACAGAACGTATTGTACTCCCGAGTTTAGCAGAGTGGAAAATGACTTAAATTCTTATCGGGGGATGGGGGGTAAACAAGTGATTGATGTGCGCGCAAAAACAACATGGTCACGACCACCAAACAGCCCACAAAACGAACACAAAGCAGCGCGTACGAACCGTGGGTCAAGGTAGAAATGTCAGCATTGTGTTTCCAGCATTACAGCTCCACGACAAAAAGCAAAACAAAAGCGCTACCAAACCCGCTGAACCAACACCCACGTAATCCCGGTTTCCCATTGGTCCCAAGCAAGTAAAGCCCCTCCCCTACTCGCCTCTGATTGGCTCCTGCGACTGCCCGTCCGCAAAGCTGCTCCATAATAAACAGCTCGACACAAGCTAGGCTGAGAGGCACGGTAAACAAGTTGGAGGCCTGTGTTACCGTGGCCTAGATTAGGATTTAAAGAATGTAAATTAACTAAGATAAAACACGCAGCTGTAATTCAAGGTAACACCCGATGCGGCAAGATTGTGCAGATTTTGAAGCGTTTCGCCGCAAAACAACGCGAAACTAGTTTGACATAACACCAGAGCACATGTTTTGAAGCGAATGCAACACTACTAAACGATGAAAACTGAGCCAAAACGCATTTAAGATGCACAAATATAATAAAAAGGCGAGTAGTGAGGTGCTATATCGAGTTATACGGCATTTAATTGTGGATTTAAGCTGTAGATTTTAGCCCCGGTCGAGTTTTTGACAGCGATAGCCGTGTGTGTGTTGGGGGGCGTGTACCGAGCAACCACCGAGAACATTCGTGCTGTTTTGTACATGAATCCGACATTTGCATCCTTTTCTGGCATCAAAAACACACACTATCCTGGACAAAGCGATACATCCACACTTAAATATGCCCATCCGCTTATCAGTATGAAAATAGAAAACTTAACACAAGCAGAATCACCAAAATTGGGAACATTGAGATCGGCCCACGAGATGGATTTCTGCAAGTCCACGGTAAATGCAGATAAAGCAATATATAGTAAGAATAAGATCACACTAATGTGGCTTAAATGCACGATTCGACTGTAAATTTGACACATTTGTGCTTTTATTATAACTCACTACGGCGCTAGATCAACTTCCTGCTTAATCATAATCACAATAACATATATGACTTTCCATAAAACTGTGCAAAAAGGGTTGCCACTTCATTCTCCATGCATTTTAAGCACATATCCGCACTCTAGTCCTGTTCTAGCCTCTACAAGCCCGTGGTGGTCGCCTGTCCGCCCCTCTGCTCGCTCGCTGCATTAGCACATTAGCTTCGCTGCTAATCCAGCGACATGACACTCGACAAAGTGACCGCCAGCCGCGTCGCAAAGGCCCGTACTCACTGTTAGGGGGCGCCTGGTCTCCGTGCTGGGTCGTGTAGCTGTGGTTTCAGGCCCTGTTTTTGTCAATGGGGCTCTCACGCTGGTCGCTGCAGAAGTCGCTGGGGTTTGTTTTGTTTTTCTTCTTCCTGACGGGTTCCTGGAAAGCGCGTGACTGCCCTGGACACGTGGGGCGCCCGCGGGCCAATCAGACGCGAGCTTTGAGACCGTAATTTCACTCAAAAGATTTTTATCTAGGGAATTAAATTAACAAAATGTCTTTTTTAGTGGACGTTGAGGCTTATTGTGACAGGTATACTCTACTACTAGTCTACTACCGTGACTTTTGTACCTCTCATCAAATGTAGTGCCTATGGCTGTGGAAACGTATGTATGTCTTCATAATTACCGGGGCATACCTAACTTATTTTTCCACAAATAATGCGTTTGTTTGTTTCAACACAAAGAGTCAAATGTTGTGAACAAACCAGACACTCTCCTGCTGTCTTCATCTTTTCAGATAGCATGATATTTTTTCCATATTTGTAAGAGCCCCATGAGTCACTATTTCACCAAAATATACAGTGCATGTGAAAAGACAGTGATTGAACCAAACTGTTTTGAGAGTGGGGAACTACTGAGAAGGGTTATAATACGTTTATTGTGGTTTGAAAAAAGTATGGAATTCATTGGAATTGTTGTGTTGTATTGCAATCATGTCAGTGTCAAATAGCATTTAAAATTATATTGTTTATTGAAATATATCTATGAAATCCAGGAACTATAACACTTTCTGATGCATCACCCTTCTGTTCCGATGCAATATTACCCAAGACGTGTGGTTGTCTCATGCAACATCAACTTGCATCAACCGGGCGGCACGGTGGCTGAGTGGATAGCACTCTCGCCTCTCAGCAAGAAGGTCCTGGGTTCGAATCCCGGTCGGACCAGGGCCTTTCTCAGTGGAGTTTGCATGTTCTCCCCGTGTCTGCGTAGGTTTCCTCCGGGTACTCCGGTTTCCCCTACCACTAAAAATATGTCCAATAGTTCTGGCATGCGCCTCCTGTACTGACCCTGCTCCCATCTCTGTGTGGAGTGAGAGACAAATGCCCAAAAAATTAGCAATTGTAAATCGCTTTGAGACTCAGATCTGCAGTGATCTGAGTCTCAAAGTATATAAATAAAGATTACGATTACTACTACTATTACTATTAAAATTAAAATATAAGGGAAACTAGAGGAAAGATCCCAGCCAATGTTAAAACTACAACTGCCCAAATAAACATTCTTGTAAAGATTATAGTTTTGATTTGTTCATATTTGTTTTTTTGTTCTCTCTGACAATGATAATGAATTGAATCTTTAAATAAACAGTGAATAAGACCTGTTTCCACCAGCCCTACTAGGCCCTACTCTACTCTACCCCGATTGCGAGCGTTTCCACTGGTCCTTTTTAACTGGTACCCGATTCTTTTCTAATAACTACTTGGCCCTGGTTCTATCCAGGCTATCAAGGAATTTCCCTGAATACTGGTTTGTTGTGAGTAGGTTGCTAGGATATGGTACCAGATACAAAGTGTAATGGAAATGCAAATATGTGGAGTAGAGCCGAGTAGAGTAGGGCTAAGTAAGGCTATAGACAGACTCTTTAGATTCTGGAAATAGTGATCTCGATGCAAACCACAATTTCAGTATAATCCAGGTTTTTATTTAGTTATTTGAGAAAGGACATTGCATAACTAGATTTTATTGACACTAAAACGTATGCGGTTTCACTAAATGTTGTCGAAGCCTTTGACTTTACTTTGTGTTTTGTCACAGGAAACAGAAGTGTGACCCTGACACAACCCAATGCCATCAAAACACCGTCAGTACAAGGAGAGGCATCACTGTCACTTTGAGACACATGTTACTAGTTTAAAAAAAAGTATTGCTATATACCTCTACTGCAAGTTTTTATACATGTGGATTATACCTGATACCATTAATTTTCAAAGTTTATAATGACCATCAATACACAAAACCTACCTTGCAATTTCATATGTCTGTGAGGGCACTTTTAAATATTATATAGTGTACATCAAAACAAAAAGTTCAAACTAAATGTAAAAATATCAGTTGTTTTAATAATTCCTCACTGGTTTATTACACTCATGTTTCACTAGGTTATAATGAAAACTAAATTTAAAGAGTAAGTGTTTACAGTTTTGGCACATTCTGTTATAGACAATATGAATGCAGTGCTTAAATACATGTAATAAGTACATTTAAAGCCACACAGAACAAAGTGCATCAGATTAAACGTCGTCATTGTAATAAAACCCATTTTTCACAACATCCCAAACATAACAGACGCCTGTTCTGGATTCCTCCATGTTTATGACTTTTGACCTTATGACAGAAAACATCAAACTAAACAGTGTTGAACTAAAATAGCTTTAAGACACAAATGTTAAATGTAAACAGGGAAGACTTTTGTCAATATATTTCCTGTAACATAATATTGACAGAGTTTGGCAATAACTGAAAAAAACTGTACAACGGCTATGAATGAAATGACAGAACTACAAATACATACCATGGAAATAATCTTACTGGTTGAACCTACAGGGATTTAAAGTATTCTTTTGGGTATTGACACGGTTATATTGAAATAGAATATTATGTATAATTTATAAAGATTTCTACTTTTTCAAGTCAGCAGCAACCAGACTCCGAGTGCATTCACATTTGTTGTTCTACTGGACTCGGTTCACTTCAGAAGTCTTCATGAAGTCACAGATCTGTTAGAAAAGAAGTGAACTTTCTAGACAGCTGCAATATTTTCCAAACGGTGCATCTCGAGTCTTGACTAAAACCAGGAAGTATGATCACATTAGTCTAGTTCTCAGGTCTCTGCACTGGCTTCCTGTGGCTCAGAATAGACATTAAAGTCTCTCTATGGCCTTGCACCAAAGTACATCCGTGACATGTTTTAGCCATATGAACCAACTCAGACTCTGAGCAGCACAGGGACCGGCCTCCTGCTGGGACTCTGAGCAGCACAGGGACCGGCCTCCTGCTGGGACTCTGAGCAGCACAGGGACCGGCCTCCTGCTGGGACTCTGAGCAGCACAGGGACCGGCCTCCTGCTGGGACTCTGAGCAGCACAGGGACCGGCCTCCTGCTGGGACTCTGAGCAGCACAGGGACTGACCTCCATATTTCATATTTATGCAGCTGAAATATGGAACGGTCTTCAGGGAAATGCAAGACAAGCTTCCTCCCTGGCTCGGTTCAGTTCAGTGTAGCTGCGCATACAAGTGGAGAATTTGATCTTCTCTCTAACCAAAAATAAATGTACTATGATTACTTATGATCTCTTTTGTAATCGAATATTATATAACTTTCATATTTTCTAATACTTTGAAATTCGTTGTGTATTGCGCAATACAGGTTTGTTTGTTCCTTTTCTTCAAAAAATAATAATCCAACCATAAAACAAACTTGATATTGATTCTAAAAGGTATGTACCGTCCCTCTCACAGTCAGAACTTTAATGTTTTATTTTATTTTATAGAAAACATCCCGTTTTCCCCTAAAAGTTACATAAGACAGGATAATGATCTCAAATTGGATGTGGTCCTCGAAGACATTCTTTCCACTGAATTATGCAACAATTACTCAGAGCTGCACAATAACGACCGCAATGTATTGTTTGAGCTAAAAGTCGTGGCCTCAAGATGAATTTATCACAATATTAAAAGGTATTACAGCAACACAGCCCCGCTCATTGTCGGAATGCAGTTTAGGAAAGTACATATATAGTTCGTTCTTTTATAGGCCGCTCTCTTTCTCTATGTAATTGGAAGTCTGTGTACAAATCAAAGTGATTATAAAATACATAATACCATCTGTGGTGGTTACAGATCGAGAATATCTGACCCACAGCATGTAAAATGCTGCTGTGTAAGAGTTCCAGATGCTTTTGACTTTTATTTGAACTTCCCTTTTTAAAACCATTGTTGAACTTGGGATAATAGTTGGAAAAGGTTGTCGTGTTGGTTGAACCCATGTCGGCTGTTCACCACAGGCAAGATTATGGTTTTACAACAACCAGCTCAGGGACTACAGGTGTAAATGATCATGCTTGTTATTCCCTGGTATAATGCATCTCTCCTTTTGCCTAATGTTTATTATTTAGAGGGAGAGCGGTGCCTGGGAGCCCCTTCAGTCCTGCATTGTATGGCCTCAGTCCTCGTTCTACAGCCTCAGTCTGTGGGAGCAGATCCCTCCCTCAATGTGGGCCTCTCAAAGTTTCTCCCTTTTTTCCCCACAGTTTTTTAATTTTATTATTTCTTACAGATACAGGAGGGTCTAAGGAAATGTTTGGACATTTATTAACATTTATGGACATTTGTCATCCGTCTTCTTTGGACCAATGGTTTTATGCGTTTTATATCGTAGCGTTTTTTTTGTTTTAACCGTTTAATTCTCTGATCTATTTTGGCAAATCGACAGTAAAGTCCTCCAAGAAAACTACTGTTGTTATTTAGGGCTATATAGAAATACATTTAATTTAAGTGAATATTCCCTGGAAAAAAATTATAATTTTATTATATAATAATAAAAACCATACTTATTATACCATACCAGGAACTTGACATTGTCGAACTTAGGGTAAAATTGATATTTCAGACCCAAAGTGAACCAGAAACCACCAAACTAGTGGTGGTTATGCGCTTCCAGTAGTCATTCAAGTAATTTTGGTGGTTTTTCACATCTCCACAAAGTAAGTAGCTTTGCCCAAACTGGTTCTTAAAGTGAATTCTGGTTCACTCAGGACTGATATGAACGTGGTTTTTAGTCTTCTAAAGTCACAGCGTGACACCCAGGACCAGAACCACATCATAATGGACTACTGCAAGCTTATCATCCACGAGGAGGATAACTTTATAAAGGAAGGAGCGGTGTCTGTAAATGGTGATGGTCAATGATTCACTTTTGTGACGCAGCTTGTTATGTCGCAGTTTTATAATCTTCTTCAACTGACCCATATGTGAGCAACGGGCTATAAGACAATCTGGTTTCATTCATTCATACAGTACATTAATTCATTTTCATTTCACCCAACCAATTTTCATAGCACCAGCGTTATTTAGACCACAATTTGGTTTAATTGCAGTCTAAATAAAAACTTTATCTGGTCAGATTCTTCACACTGAACAGGCCTCTGCAAAAAGACTAGGTCGTAAGGCGGGTTAAATACAGAGTCGTTCTGACACACCAGCCTGTGTCGCTCTGTGTGTAAGGAAGAGGCGAGCTGGGGTTTCTCAGGCAAAAAATCTGTGTTTTTGCTCAGTGGGAATGAGCCTCATGTTGGAAACTTGAATAACTTAAACCAAACAAAGGATTCCACACAAAAAGAATTACAGAAAGAATGAAGCAAGCTGTTGTTTTGAAGTGCAGTGTTATACGTCCCCATCACAGCCCATGCACCAGCAGTACCAATGTCTGCATATATTTTTGATTATTTTTTATTTCATACCAGCGTTGAGTCTTTGTCTTCTCTTTGTCGCGGTCATAGTTCCGTTTTGATCTTGTGCATCAGGTCCTTCTGGTCCACCTTGTCGTCTTGCCGGTTCCAGCGGTGGTAAGCTAGCAGCGCGATGTTTTTGGCGGCCACAGAGCTCATCTCCATGGCACTGCCGGCCCACTCGATCCCGTTCAGATAGTACAGGTTCGGCTGCAGCTCGATGGAGGGAAGACTGGAGCTGCTGCCGTAACGAGGGTACGCCGACCACTCTGTCAACTGGACCGAGTAATAAGACCTGAAGAAAAAGATTATAAAAAAACGGTTTGACACAGAAGTGATGTTTCCAATAGCACTAGGACTCTCACAATTATAAAACTACTAGAAGTCCCAAAGCCGTCTGTTGGACTGCTGCCATTCAAACCAAAAATCAGCAGCCATGAGTTCCTTGGAGGAGTCACCAATCTTTCAGTGAGAGATACTTTTGCTGAACAAAAACGGCAGGGTCAATATAACAGATCATCATAAATTGGGGCCAGTTATAGATTGTTTTCTGGGTTTCCATTATTCATTACTACATCTATTACTGCACAAAGTTTAGAGGTGGTGTAACTAACTTTCCCCCCATTAATAATACATGTTGTTTATACCGACAAGTAGAGTCTTGTATAATTAACATTGTATGAACAAATTAGACCACAAAATACTGCCTACATCTTTTTAGTAAAGATTTTATCTTTTGCTCATTGTAAGATAAGAGTCCTGTGAATCACTATTTCCCTGTTGTTGGGATGTGAATCATTACATTTCTAAATCCTTCAGGGAGCTTCTTGGCAATGGCCTAGATTGATGCTCACAGTGCATTGGTAAAAAACCGAAATAAATTGAAGGGTTTCATTGCCGTCTAAAAAAAAAGAAACATTTGGTCAGAGTGTCCAAACTGAACCCGCCTCTGCAAAAAGACTAGGTCCAGGTCAATGCAGCAATTAGGCCAAAAATCAATTTTCAAGAGCCCTACTTGGCCCTACTCTGCTCTACTCTGCTCTGCTCTACCCCAATTGGGAGAGAAGCCTGTTATAAAACAGGTGAAAGTCTGGACTGAGGACAGCTCCTTAGCACTTCAAGGTTGCTTTGAGTGCACAGACTGGTCGGTGTTTCAGGATTCCTCTCGGGACATTGATGAACTTACAGACGTCATTAGCAGTTATATTTCTTTTTGTGAAAACTTGGTTATTCCAAGGAAGGAGGTGAAATTGTATCCCAATAATAACCAGTGGTTTTCCCGGGGCATAAAGGAATTACTTATTAAAAGAGTAACTGTCTTCAATAAAGGTGACGTGATTGCGGAGAGAGCAATTAGAAAGGAGATCAGGTCTGAGATATATAAGAATAAACTAAGGTACAAAGACAGAGTGGAGGATGAGCTCAGAAGCAACAACTTAAAGAGAACATGGAAGGGAATGAAAAACATGATTGGGGCTCCTGATAAGGTACACAAAGTTGCTTTAATTGGTCATGAATCAGATAAGCACCTGGCTGATGAACTGAATACATTTTATTCTCGATTCAACAGCTCTGACTACGAAGAGAAACTGTCTGAAATGAAGGCTCGTACACAGGCACGTCCATTGGTGACAATTGAGAGCAGCACAGTAGCAAAGTTGTTCAAGCGGACCAAATCAAAGAGCCCGGGTCCCGACAACATTAGTGGTCGAGTACTGAGCACATGTGCTGACCAATTGTCGGATGTATTTCAGTATATTTTTAACTTGTCCCTGATTCAACAAAAAGTCCCCAAAATTTGGAAACACTCAACAATTGTACCAGTTGCCAAAACTAACACCCCGAAATCTTTGAACGATTTCCGGCCTGTTGCATTGACCTCGTTGGTAATGAAAAACCTCGAAAAAATAATTAAAGAGGCCATTCTTCTGCAAGTTGAGGATAAGTTAGACCCCCTGCAATTTGCATATAGGTCAGGGAGAGGTGTTGATGACGCCGTGATCACACTAATGCACTTTATTTCTTGCCATTTGGATAAAGTAAAGACTCATGCCAGGCTTTTATTTGTGGATTTTACGTCTGCTTTTAACACAATCCAGCCCTTTTTACTCGCACAGCAACTGATTTCAGATTTTAATCTTGATTTTAATTTGGTTGGATGGTTGTTGGACTTCCTAACACCTCGGTCACAGTGTGTGAGGGTTAATGGCACCATGTCAGAGGTTGCCTTTACAACCATTGGTTCTCCTCAGGGTTGCTGCCTGTCTCCACTCCTGTACATTTTGTACACAGATCAGTGTCGAAGTCTGCACCAGGACAGACACATCTTGAAGTTTGCAGACGATTCAGTCATTGTGAGCCTGCTCTCTGGGGAGGAGCAGGGCCATGGACCTGTCCTTAATGACTTTGTGGAGTGGTGCGATGCCTCATTCCTACACTTGAATATCTCAAAAACTAAGGACATGATTTTGGACTTCCGTAGGGCACCTCCAGCCCCCACAACCACTGTTATTAGGGGCATGGATGTTGAGCTTGTGGAGCAGTACAGGTATCTGGGGGTTATTGTGGACCACAGGCTGGGCTTTGAACCCTTGGTCGATGCAGTCTGTAAGAAAGTGCAGCAGAGAATGTACTTTCTTAGGCGCATGAACACTTTTAAGGTGTCGTCAGAAATGATGACCTTGTTTTATCGTTCTTTTATTGAATCTGTGTTTACATTTTGTATCACTGCATGGTTTGGAAGCCTATCCCAAGCAAACAAAAACAGACTTGGCAGTCTGGTTAAAGTGGCTAGTAAGGTGTCAGGGAGAACACAGGCTCAGCCCAAAGACCTGTACAGTAAGCAGGTGCTGAGGACGGCCAATTCTATAATTGGTTCTTTGGACCACCCCCTGAGGGAGCAGTTTGAACTTTTACCCTCAGGACGACGCTATAGGGCTCTTGGGTGTAGGACAAAACGGTTGGGAACTACATTTATCCCAACAGCTGTGAAGCACCTTAACAGCACATAGCACTTTTACAAACGTGCTGAAAATGTGTTTTGTGACATTCTCTTCTGTTCTTGTTTTCTCAATGTTGTGATTTTACTGTATCTGCCTGTTTTTTTTTTTTTTTTTTTTTTTTAGATGATTTATGCTGCAAAACCAATTTCCCCTAGTGGGACAATAAAGACAACTTGAACTTGAGTGTTACCACCAGCCCTGTAACTGGTACTAGGTACTTTTTAGTACCTACTTGATCCAGGCCAAACTGGTACTAAAGTGTTCTAACTGACAATGATGGCTTCTGGAAGCCATGATTATCAAGGAATTTCCCCAGATACCGGTTTGTTGTGGGTAGAGTACTAGGATACGGTACGAGATACTAAAGCATACAGTAGAACAGAGTAAAGTGAAGGACTAACCCTAAAATTGAGCTATTTCTAACCAGATTGTGACCTGTTAATTTTGAATACAGTTTCAATGAAGAAAAAGGCAACAAATGTGAATATTTACCTCAGCATGGGACAAAACACCAGGGTTTTAATGAGTCCTAGAGTTGGGCTAAGTAGGGCTGCTGGAACGGGGTTTATGTTTGTTCATTGGCAAATCATGTTTTAATAAAGTAAAATATGCTAAATTTTAAAGAAAAACTTACCAATGCACTTTCAAAAAAATAATGTGTGTATTGTATGTATTGTGTGTCTTACTGTGACTGACCTGAAAAGAGATTTGAGCTGAACCTTGTCCAGCGTATGAGGAGAGAACACTTTATAAATCCCGGCTTCCTGCGGCTGTTTGCGTCTAAAACCCGCAGAGATGTTGACGGGGCAAATACTGGCCACGCTGTTAAAGAACAACCTCGGCTCGTCTGTGGTCAGGACGCTGGCGAAAGGGAAGAGTCTGGGATCGGGGAAACCGAAGAACGTGGTGTTGAGGTAACCGTGGACGATGGTGGCGACTGTGCTGTGGTAGTAACCGGGCAACTGGTCGAAAGGCGGGGAAAAGTCCTCGAAGGTGATCCCTGATTGGACGCTCTCCTGAAGGGGCGTGGCCAAAACCACAATGTCGTAAAGATCAGAGCCGGAGTCGGTTTCAGAGGTGAAGCTGAGGCGGTACTGAAGCGTGTCTCCTGTGGATAAATAAAGAAATAATAATGTAATTACATGAGGCCAGTAATGAGTCAATTAATGTGATTTATTTTTAAAATACATTCTACCAAAACAAAGATCAAAAGATGCTTCTAGAGAACGTCTTTAATGGTGACAATTTTGTATTTCATTCTGCAGTTATTACATTAAAAGATTCTGGGTCATAAAACTTTTACATATACAAGCATTTATTCACAGAAAAGATTATACTAGGAGTAAACAAGAAAACCTGTGCATGGTTTGAAAAGGAATAGGCTGATTTTAATCCAATCCCCTCTGCGCCGTTCAATACAATACAATACAATACAAGAAAGGATAATTGTGGTATTTATTTATTAGTGCAAAAATGTCCATCTAATAAGGACTATCTATCTATCGATAGATAGATAGATGGATGGATACGTTATTGATCCCCGCATTTATCCCCGTAGGAGAAATGCAGGTAAATCATAAAATAAATGTATGGAAGCTTATTGTCAGTTTATTTTAGATGATCATCGTAGTGATCATCTAAAATATACAAATATACCTTTAAGTTATGTGTTTCTATAATCAGACAATTGTGAGATAACAATCCAGTAATAACATCACTGTCTTACAATTATCTGGTATAGACAAGAAATAAATCAATGTTTGTGAAGGTCTTAATTATGGAGTTATCAGTTTTCTCCTTTGAGAATTGCAGCTTTCTAATTGCATTTTGAGCAGACAGCCGTGGTCCAGTCCAGTCCAGTCCAGTCTTGTTCAGTCATAATTGTTTGAAATCGATTGTTTTTTTTAAATTAGGGGCGACAGTGGCTCAGTTGGTAGAGCATTGGCCTTTGGGCTGATACCAACCACATAACCACATAAAAAGGTTTATATTAAAGTAGGTATAAATATATTCCTACTTATTATCAAATATATATAAATATATATTTGATAATAAGATCAAATGCAATATCTTTTACTTGGTACATTAACATAAATTAAAGAGCGACTAAACACCAAATCAACTTTTTTTAACTCATAAACTAGTATGTTTATTGTAGTGCTCTCTACATATCCTGGTCATTTTTTTGACATTTTAGTTCAAATTAGATAAAGTATCACTTTTGAGCCAAAAAACGCTGTGTGGCGCCCTCTCAACCTTTTTGGTGGTACTACATTTGAATTTGGTCCTGGCCTCTCATTGACTCTGAAGTTCTCTATGACATCAGTTGTTTTGTGTGACGTCAGTCTGTCAGAGCCAGTGATGTGAACCCATTCAACTCTCACACACGCCCCAGCTGCAGTTTGGAGTATTCTGGCGCCATCTAGTGGATTAAAATTAAATTACATGAGTCATTCTGAGATTATAGAGTGTGATTAGGTTCAGGTGTGTAGCTTTACAATTATCTTAGTGTGTAAACAAGGGTGGAATGAGACTTTCTGGTCTGTAAACTATTGCTTTAAGCAGCAATGACAACTGTCTGTTTTTTTGTGTGTGAAAAGTGAGCTGTCAATCACAGCCCAGGCCACGCCCAACTCTAAGCCCCCCTTCTTGTCCCTTGGTCCTCCAGGCAACGCCCTTTTTAGAGAACATTTTCAAATCTTCATGTGGGCGGAGTCAGGCTGGGCACAGGTGTTTAGTCGCTCTTTAAATGTAGATATGTGCCTGCCTGGTACAGTCTACCATAGAAAATTGTGAGTACTTCAGTACTTACCGTGACACAAAGCAATGAGAAATAATTTAGCATATCTTTTTATAAGCTCACTACACTCATCATGTTATAATTAATTACAAAAACTACTAAGTGTATTAATCCTACAAAATCTAATCTTTCATTTGGCCCTCAGTGTTTATATAGTCTAAATTTAAGATTAGCTTCTTAGCTTTAATCTGCAAAAAACCTTTTACCGTTCTTGAGCAATCTGTCATAATATATAATATATAGTTTAATTAAAAACACTGCTGACGTCCAGATTCGAGCCCAGGTCGCTGCATCGAAAGAGCAATGTCTTAACCACTAGGCCACCGTTAAATTCAATATGTAATATGCCCCAGAAAGGGTTTTTATCTGTTTATAAAGAACGTGGCAAGCTTTGCATCAGACAAAAAGTGATGCCAACTTGTCACTGCAGGTAGCTGTTGTAGTCATTACAAGTCGACTGCTTGTGTCAAATCAGTCGGCACTCGGGGCCCCCTGCCGGTTTGGGGGGCCCCAGACAGCTGCCGTCCTTGCCTTTTGGCACGGGACGCCTCTGGACCTACTTCACAACACCCACTGATACCCGTTGTGTCCTTGGGCAAGACACTTAACCCTGCTTTGCCTGAAGCCCCCGCTGAAAGATCAAGGCTCTTGTGGACTCACCACCTGCAGGAGGATCAGTGAGGGGCTGGTGCTAAGTGTACTGGGTGCAGCTCTGACTAACGCCCCCCCCCCCCCCCCCCCGGGCCGGAAATGGATTAAGGGGAAGAAAATGGATGGATGGAGTGGTTTTTATCTTAATTTGAGTTAATTCCTACTGTATTAAAACAATATTTGCCAATGGGACAAAAATATTTACTCTTATTTCAAGAACTGTTGCTTCATTTTCTGATTCCAAGGGAGGCATTTCTAGTTTTTCATTAAAACAAGATAATTTTTCTTTGTCCCATCGGCAAATCTTGTTTTAAGCCAGTCAAAATGTGACTAAATTAAGATATATTTTGCCAAACCTGAGCCATTTTTGACTTATTTTGTTCACCACTTTTGCAGTGTAGAGTCTGTACCTGATGTGACCGGGGCGATGGAGGTGACCTGAGCCTGGTGCAAGTTTGCGTTTGCTGTTTTAATCAGTCCGGAACACACCAGCTTGTTTCCTCCCTCCACAGACCACAGGTTGTTCTGAGCTCCAGCCAGAGACACTGCACCTGGTGTGGACACAGGCAAAACATGTGACATCAATACAACACAATGGTGAGAGAAGGTGGCGAGAATTAGGATTACTATGCACATTTATAACCATGCTAAAATAGTATGACCAGTTTTGTCCAGTGCTGTATCTAAGTAAATGTAATCGAGTAATATTCACATGCTGAAAAACAGACCTGGGGTTGATTTTAGATTCACCCAAACATGTAACCCCCGCCCCTTCTGTCTAAAAGCTCCTGTCTCTGACCTGTAATAGTATGATGTTATTGTACCACTATGACATCACAGTCAGAGCAGTTTTCTGTCTGTTAAAACAAAAGTATTGTCTGTTAATTTGTTTTGGAAATGTCTCAGTTGAAATGACGTTCTTTATAAATGCATGGCTGAGTTTACAGTCAGTATTTCCTGAATTTAGAAAAAAATAAACGTCTGGTGGTGGCATATGGAGTTACCTGAAGCACCTGAAGTTTTACTAAATTATTAAACTAATTATTATACAGTCATTTAAATCATAGCTCATAGACAATTCAGTCGTAGTATTCAGGCAGGTTTGGAAATTTGTGGAGAGGCCGTCTGTTCCCCAGTAATGGAAAAGAAAAGAAAATAAATGGATAGAAAAAAAAGAAAATGAATGGATAGAAGTTGAATTTGGTTGTTTCTTGAGAATAGTGACATAACCGAACACAGTGTTCTGTTCCATCTGACAGAATGACATTTGTAGATTCTGAAACCTGAGGAGGACCAATTAACGGCTGCCCATCACCTTCCTCGCACCTGCGTCTGCTGCGACACCTCTCTCCTCTCTCTGACAAACTGTGAGCACAACTTTATACACCAACTTTGTTCAGACGAGGATCGATATTTGTATGATGAAGTTGTAGTTTTACAGCTGAATGTGTTAAACAGTTTCTGATGCTCCGTTATCCATATGTTCTTTCAGGGCTAAGCAGATTTCTCAGAGGAGATTGTTTCTATTATATTATAACTTTAGATACAATTTGTGAACTTAAAGTGAATATCTGTTCAAACTGTGAAGAGAATGAGCTGGTCAGACCGCACCTATGCAGCGTCCTGATTGGTCAAAATGAAATCAAATCCATGAAGCCCCTTGTCATTGGCTTAACTATTCTCCTTTGTCAAATCTTACTGGTTGTAGATGGGAAAGGGAGTATTAACAAATCACTGTTGAACAAAACTGTGAAGTACAGTGTCTCATGGTCAGAAATACACCATAATTGATGGACTACAAGACCCTACTTTAAGTTCTTTATTTCTCTTTAAAGCAATTTCCAAGTCTGTGACCTCCTGTTACTTACGTGGCAATAAAAATGATTCTGATTCTGATTAAACTCCTATACAGCAATGCAGACAAAGGATATATTTTCTTTATGTTAGTGCGCCCCCTGGAGGGCAGGAAAGAATTTGGACAAAGCTCTTGCTCACGTTTATGTGAACAGCAGAGAGAGCCTTTGTAATAGACCAACAAAGTTCACTTTTTTCTTACCCTACAGCATCATTTGCTGGAATGCAGTCCTCCTCAGAGACAAAACTTATCGAGTCGACTAGTAGAATAATAGAATCGACTTGTAGAATTTATGGGATTTTTATGTGGTTTTATGTGATTAGGGCTGTCAGAACACAGTTTATGGCCTTATTATTTTGATTCCAAGTTTTAGAAGCTATAGGTGTTTATATTCTCAAAATACATTGGTAAATTAGTCTTGACAAGAAACTAACAGCAAAGGTAAGCATGCTAATGTGAGCTAATGTTCTCCTCCTCAGATTTTATTGTGTAATTTACCTTTATCCATTCATCCATTACAAGTCAACTTTGCGTTAAAAACCTTATACATGCTATCATGTTGTGACCGGTTAAAAAAGTTGTCCATCTGCTTTGTTTTGTTCCATCAGCTGTTGGTTATATTATATAAACCTGCGGCTTATAGTCAAATACGGCCTGACAAAACGTACTTTCTTTTAAAATGTCGCTGGTGCCGTTTTTATACAGGTGCGCTTTATTAGTCCTCAAGTAATGTGCAATTCTTTTGAAAGTTAAATACAATTTAAGTTGCAGACATCAGCTTTAAAAGTACGAACTATATAAGGGTTAGCCACGGTTCATAGCTCCTCACTTCATACCTGACAGAAGCATGCTACGTCTCCTTTAAACATCCCCTGGACTCGTGTCAGATGTGATTTGTGAACCGACCTTGATGAAACACATAATTTCATGTCATATCTCACCCACGAACGCCGGGATGCTGACGTTCTGGCCGTAGTTGACCCGCATGATGGGAGCAATGACCTCGTCAATGAAGCGCTGGGACACGCCCACCTCCAGCAGCGAATCAGAGAGCGGCTTGCGGGTCATGTTGAGGAAGCCGGAGCCGCCCAGAGAGTCCAGCAGCTCCTCCACCGAGCTGAAGGCGTAACCGTGCGCCTGGTACTTGTAGATCCTGGACACGAGAGGTTCACACACCAAGGGCACAATGAGAGAAATGGGACGATAACTGGTGTTTTCAGAAGTACAATATCGTTCTAAAGTCAATTAATTTACGTAATTTCAACATACAATGTGAAACTAATATATGACAGTTACGTGCAAAGTAATATAATGTTAATGTTTTACAGATGTTTACTTACAATTACATATTTCTTGCACTAGAATATACAGTGTTTTATACTTGCTTCTTTATTATGCCAAAGGTAGAAATTTTCTATGTAATATTTATATAATATGATTAAAACCACAATATATTGTAGTATATCCTGGTATTTTTAGTCATCATACTGCGGCCATTTTGAATATTCTGTTTGATTGATTGGATTTATTTCAAGCTTATAAATTTACAGCAATTACATAATATACATAATAAAAACATACATACATACATTCGCACATACATTTAAGGGTTTCCTATTTTCACTGTTATATTTCTGTCTACACAAGTGACCATGAAGAAAAATAATCTTGTCAACCTCCCCGCCTGGGCGCCTCTTCAGTCCTGCACCTCCTGGATCTACAGCCCATCCATCCGTGAACATGGATCTCTCTCTTAATGATTCTCACTTTTTTTTTTTTTTTTGAGTTGTTGGCAGTGATGGACTTTTAGAAACCTTTATGGCCAGTGGTTATCCTGTTCCCTTTGGACCAATGGCTGCTTTGTATTTATTATCATTGCATTCCATGTGTTCAAACTGTTTAATTCTCTGATCTAAACTTTTAGTCCACTTTAGTTGACTGCTTTGGTGATTCAGGGCTGTACAAAAATAATTGAATGTAAGAATCCACAGTGAACCACCTCTCAGCAAACTCGTTTACTTTCTGCAAGAGTCCACTTATTTTAACAGACATTCAGCCTTTTGTGCCAAGACCGTAACACACTGATTTGCAATTTCCTTGTAGGCTTTTTCTGACCTGCACACAACCATCTCTTTTAGCAAATACAGCAAAGAGAAGAGCAGTGGAAAGAACAGGCGTCTACATGTCTTCTTAATGAAATGAAAAGTACAGTAAATGTAGTTACAGTGCATTCTTGAGTCTATATGCAGCACAAGGAGTCTAGGTCAGATCTTAAGATTTAATACCAAAGGTGAAATAGCTGGGGATTGGGAGAGATTACAACATAAATGCCTCTTCTATAAACCCTTTAATGAAAATGCTGTAAACGGGAAGGGACACAGGAAGAGCCTTGTGTTCTGATATTTTTCATGACGGAGGGAAAACTGAGACAATGTCCTCGAGGAAGGAAACAGAGCTGAAATTAAACCAAAATCTGAATGAAGTTGGAGGAAAATAAAAAAACGTTTTCTTGCCAAGAGGAGCTATTTTGGGTAATGTCAATAAGAAGAATGAAAATATAGCTTCATAGGAGGTGACTCAGCGTTTCAAGGACTTCCCCCCATTACAGTAATGATAACAGTAATATGTCCGGACAGTCTTTATGCCAACTGTCCCAATGCATCAGTTTGAGGCAGGTGGGCGCTGGTCATACAATCTGTGGAACGGCAACAGAACTGAGATTCTTTAACCGCTTTTGAATGTAGAATCTATATAATGTTGTGTTGTTGGAAAGCAAGAAAAGCACTCATAGAGCACAGATTTCCGTCAAAATGTGCAGTTAATAATAATAATAATAAAGTATTGTTTCTTATAGGACTTTTCAGGACACTCACCATACATGGTGGTGATAAACTGCTATTGTAGCCACAGTTGCCCTGGGGCACACTGACAACAAGCGAGGCGACCAGTATGTACCATCAGCCCCTCACCACCACCAACCATTCACACACACACACCAGACTCATTCTAGGCAATGGGGGTGAAATGTCTTGCCTAAGGACAAAGCAACAGTTTGGCACTATACAGCTGCTGCAGCCGCCCCACTGTGGATCTTGGTTTTCCCAGAGGTCTCCCATCACAGTACTAGCCATACCATGCCCTGCTTAGCTTCAGAGGTCTGTCGAGATCTGGCTTACACGCGCAGCTGTGGCCACATGATCCATTCCAAATAAAAACTCTTGGATCCAGACAAAAATCCAGATCTATTGGTGATTTAAGAAAAAGAGCAAGAACAAAGATTTACTATTTTTTAGGCTGTTTACGACTCAAAAATCTTCAGTCTTGGATGTATCTTTTGGCAGCTTCGGGGCATGAGTCATTTTATATCCAAAAGTTTGCGTAGTGTAGTTTTAAACAGTTTTTCTGTCTTACAAGAACAAGAAGAAAACAGATGGATGAACTTTGCTAAGTCACAAAACACATACAAAATAATAACATTTAAGATACAATAATTACATTAACAACATTCTTTCAGCAAATAAGGAAACAGAACAAACTCTCTTCTTTAAAGCTTTCAGATTCACCTCAGCTTTAATTCTAGTTTAAATTAGTGTGAAACCGGCAATAAAAAAGGGATTTGAAATGATTTAACAAAAAAACAAAATCTTGCTTGAATATCCCAGCCCTAAACCGAATCACTCTATTGACACACAATGGAACTAAATACACAATCATAAGCTCAAAGACTAATGTGAAAACAGTCTTAAAGCATGATTTAGAGCTAGATATGTTTATTATCCAGAAGACTTTTGCCAATTGTAAATCCACGGTACAGAATGTCTAGAGCTGTTCAGAGCAGTGTGCATTACATCTTTCTAGAGACAGAATGTGGAATATCAGACCTCCATTATCCAGGCATGGTGTTGATTATAAATTAGACAAAGTGGCACCATAATTGCATTCTGTCAATTACCCAGCATGCAACAGCACCTTTATAAGTGGCTCTGATATGCTATCCTATCAATAACAAGGCAAGGACACAATATGGAAAGAGAAAGGCAACAAACGCTGCCATACGACTCAAAATTAAATGAATAAATTGTGTTTTAGTAAGTTTCTAAAAACAAAAAATATGGATTAGCTACAGGTATAATCGCGATTATAGGGGTTTTCACACCAACTAAAAACCTTGGAATTTAGGTAGTGCCTCTTGCTTTCACGGTGGGCAACATGGGCTGATGTGTCTGAACCATTCGGCAATTGTCCCTCCTCAGATCATTCTTGAAAGTGTTGCGGTTGAATTCATTTTCTTGTAAATTCAACAACACACATTGAAAAATAATGTTACTGACGAAAAAAATACGTATTAATTTTTGTCAATTATGAAATATAGTTATCCATGTATCACAGAGATGTTTTTTTTTTTTTTTAAACCATTGCTTTGCACTGAGCCAAAGCAATTTCCAAGTCTGTGACTTAATGTTACTTACGTGGCAATAAAAATGATTCTGATTCTGAAAAATGATTGTGCAAGCTAAAATAAATACGTTAAGTCCTCTATAACGGCGGCACGGTGGCTGAGTGGTTAGCACTCTCGCCTCTCAGCAAGAAGGTCCTGGGTTCGAATCCCGGTCGGACCAGGGCCTTTCTGAGTGGAGTTTGCATGTTCTCCCCGTGTCTGCGTAGGTTTCCTCCGGGTACTCCGGTTTCCCCTACCACTAAAAATATGTCCAATAGTTCTGGCATGTGCCTCCTGTACTGGCCCCGCTCCCATCTCTGTGTGGAGTGAGAGACAAATGCCCAAAATTAACAATTGTAAACCGCTTTGAGACTCAGATTTGCAGTGAAAAGGCGGTATATAAATAAAAACTTACTTACTAACTTACTTACTATAAGATTAAAAACAGCAAAAAGAGACCAACTCAAGACAATATACACCAACATTACGTTGACAGACTTTTTGTAACTTGTGGACTGTTAAAAAAAAAGTTTGATATGACAAAATATCGCAAAATATATTCCTGCAATTCTCCAATTGATTCAAAAATATTTAAAAATCGGAATTCTGGAAAGATAAATAAATCATGATGTTTATTTTTCACATTAAGGAATATATTTTGGGGCTTGTTCACTGCAGAGTCTTACTCAGTGCGCACTTAGGCAAGGCAAGTTTATTTATAGCACAATTCATACACAGGGTTGTTCCAGATACAAGGCAATGCACCAACCTATGTGGCCTGTTAATGTTCTAGTTTTCATCCCTGGAATAATGAAGTGAAGGAGCTCCTGAGGGCCGTATCACGGAATACTTTAAAACCTGCGTCACCTCCCAGTACTGTTCACTTCTGTATCGTTTTTTTGTTTTAATTCAGATCCCCATAAGCTCCTAAAATATACAGTGGCTATTCTTCCCGGTGTTACGGGCCAGCCCGTTAGTGTCCAGGAGAGGGTGCTGTCTGTGTTGGCCTGCCTTCTCTGCCGCCTCCTCCTCTGTGCAGGTACACCCCTGCACCATGCCACGCCTCCTCATCAATGGACCTTCTTCAGCTGTTAGCTGAGAGCTGCTCACTCGCTCCGGCCCTGCTGTCTTGTTTGGTCCTCCCCTGATGCTCTTCCTTTGTTTGCACATTGTAGTTTGTCTTTTGGTTTATGCACCACATTTACTGCACACCACACACCGGCTTTCATTGCACTCACACACCTGCACCACACTACTGATTACAACATGCTCACACCTAGTGATGGGTTGATGAAGCTTCATGAAGTGTTGAACCTTTTCATCCATTGGTTCGAGAAAAGGTTCATTTCTTGATGCTTCATATGCTCACAAACCTCCTGTTGGTCAAAATCTGTATTGACAATTGAACTGTTTGTGAGGCTCTTGGTGCATAGGAATTAATACTGGTAACAGAAATTAAAATTTAATTTGATTGTGTATGACCCATTAATTCATCTGTTTCATTATGATCAATATCAGTAGTGAAAATGAATATATTTTAAATGACAATAAAATATAATGTACTGGTAACTGGTACAGTTGTCTGCTCTAACACACACACATACACACACACACGTAGATATATATTTATATACATATTTAATGATGAATGATTATAGCTTTTCAAGTCAAAATCAATGTTATAAATCCAATGGGACAAAAGACATGTTGAAAGTGTAAGTGCTTTTCAAAGGACGTGACACAAATGGGGATATCATTTGGGATTGTGACCCCATCAGTTGTTTAAAACCAAAACATTTCTGACAAAGTTCTTTCACGTGTATTTACATCTACGCACTCCCGGTGAGATTCGAACCCCGTTCTCCCTGGTCCCAACCCTGCTTCTCTATCAATTGAGCCAACCAGCTGTTACTACAACCCTCTCCATCACTGACTACATTAATCACCAAGACAAACACACAGTTTGAGCGGATCTTCTGCAGTACTTTATGAATCGCTCCATTTACTGTGCTCCCGAGGCTTCAAACGTCATTAGTGACGTCACTCATCTAAAACAACTCAGGCTTCGGCCCGCGCTCCGATAGAAACTTCAGGGATTTCTCGGCTCACGCCCCGAAGCGCCGACGCGGCACGACCCATCACTACTCACACCTCATACCTTGTTTTTGTTAATGTCATACTAGCCTTTTGTTATTATTAAATATACTTGTGCACTTTTTACCCCCGTCTCGTCTCCCTATTTGTTGTGGCCCTGAGCCGGCCGTAACAAGTTGGGGGCTCGTCCTAAAAACCCGCTTTTGTTTGAGGTAAATATAATTTTGTGTTATCTGTGATATTTTTTGGTAAACTGGTTTTGTTTGAGAGCGCTTTTGTTTAACCTTGTGTCAGCTCTTGTTTGTTTGTTGGTTAAGTGCCATTTTGAATTGAGCTGTACCTGGAGTTTGGTGTGACGGGCTCAGTGGGGGTTTTCCCTGTGACGTCATTTTGTTAGTGCGCTTTGTGGGAGACGTGCGGGAGGTATTTTTTGGTCTTCAGGATTTTGTGCTGTTTGAGAGCAGGTCAAAAACTTCATCCTAGTTTGGTCAGCCGTGGCTGTAAAGACCCAGAAGGTAAGTGTATAAATTGTAATGTGTGCTAAAGTTAAAAGTTGAGGAATCCCTGGTAGGCTTAGCAGTGTTTCCCAACAGGGGGTTCACTGCATTTTTTTGGGGGGGGGCTTTAGTGTGGAAGTTAAGAGCGGGTCGTAGCTTCCATTTCCCCTTTTCCCTACATCGGCTCGGGAGCGCGCCGTGGCCACTTGATTGCCAACTTGGTCGTCTTGTGTACCATCGGTATCTGGCGCATAAAAACCCATCGCCACGCTTCCCGAAGACTAGGGTTGAGGTAGTAAGCTTTTGGGTAGGCAGTTAGCGGGGTATCCTTTACTTTACAGGGCACATTGGTAGTTTATCACTTAAGCTTCTGGGGGTCTGTTTTGTGATCATGGATGATGTGGTTGAGGAATTTCTGGAGGAACCATGTGAGTGATTTGAAGTTCTGCACTAAAAGGAATTTAATCGCAATTGCAGAATATTTCAAGGTTGATATTGGCAATTCCACTGTGTTGAGGAGTGCTCTTGAGGATAATTTAAAGAAACTATTATTTGGAATGGGCATTTTGGTTTCACTTGTGGGTATTAACTTTTGAGCAGCAGAAAGAGCTACTGTTGGTCCAAGTAGAGGCAGAGAGAGAACGTGAGATAATGAGGCAGGAGGTTGAATTGGCTACACTTGACATCGAGCGGCAGAAACTCTATTTGAAGAGACAGGAGATGCAGTGTAGTCCTAGAACTGAACATACAAAGGAGGAACTTAGTGACTTGAAGCTTGTTCCACGTTTCAATGGAGGGGGTCCGGAAACGAAAGCTTTGCAGTTCACAGGCTCTGAGTTTCCAGTTGTGGGAATGGCTTTAAAAGTAATGGAGGTTCCATGTGATACAGTTCTGCATTGTGATTTTGTCCAGGGTGAGGAGTCTATGGGAGTGCACCCAGCATTGCCAGTCGATGGCGCCACTGTGATCTTGGGCAATGATATTGCAGGTAGCCGGGTCTGGGCTGATGTGCCTCCTCCAGTCCAGGTGTCTGATTCGCCTATGGTATGTAGTAACCCTGAAATTGAGAGGCAGTTTCCGGAGGGAGTTACTGTTTGTATGGGTACACGTTCAAAACTAGTGGGATCTGAAAGTGAGGAAGATCTTTCTGGCAATAAATTCCCTGTGCCGGTTCTTCCTTGGTCAATGACACCTGACGACCTGGTGGAAGAGGAAAATTGTGTTTGTGTTCCTAACGATGTTTCAGTGGCAGTTCTTCCATCTTCAGTGACACTTGACATCCTGGTGGTGGAGCAGAACTCTTTTGCTTTGGAGCGATCAGTGGGAGATCCTGTGCACCCGGTGGTGGGTTCTTTAAAACGTTGTGATGCTGTGTTCCAGAGCTGTCATGACCAGAGCAGCCATAGTGGGGTCAGGAACACTTGTGGCCATAGCTGTTTATTTTAGTCTGTCATTCCACTGTCAGGTCTAGAGCTAAATGCCAAAATGACGATCGGCTCTAAGGTCTTTGTGACGAGTCCTATTCAGAGGGCTGGCTTTGATGCTTAGTCACAACGCTTGTGGCATCCTGGGGAAGGGAAGCTGCTGGAGAGGGGAGGCCAGTGTGTTGTGGTTGTGCTGTTCCTTCTCACTCTGGCAGGCCTTCGTGGTATTTGCCGGTGCCAAGCTCGGATGAGGCAGCTGGAGACTACGAGGACTGGTCTGGAAGCTGGTGTCAGGTCCGTTCTGGTGGATGCTTTAGCCCACCGTGCAAGCGACACTGGGACGGCACGGTGGAGACCCCAAGTCCCAGGGCCAACTGTATTTTGGAGGTACAGTGCTTGACACCACTTAAAGTTTCTTCCAAACGTTTGAGTGGCCTTGTGGCTGGAACATCCTTTGAGCTGCTAAGAGTACGTTTTCTAGTTTACTCTGGGGCTTATGAAGGGCCCGGTTGGGTCCCTTTCTTGTAGGGGGGGGGGTGTTACGGGCCAGCCCGTTAGTGTCCAGGAGAGGGTGCTGTCTGTGTTGGCCTGCCTTCTCTGCCGCCTCCTCCTCTGTGCAGGTACACCCCTGCACCATGCCACGCCTCCTCATCAATGGACCTTCTTCAGCTGGGAGCTGAGAGCTGCTCACTCGCTCCGGCCCTGCTGTCTTGTTTGGTCCTCCCCTGGTGCTCTTTCTTTGTTTGCACATTTGAGTTTGTCTTTTGGCTTATGCACCACATTTACTGCACACCACACACCGGCTTTCATTGCACTCACACACCTGCACTACACTACTGATTACAACATGCTCACACCTCATACCTTGTTTTTGTTAATGTCATACTAGCCTTTTGTTATTATTAAATATACTTGTGCACTTTTTACCCCCGTCTCGTCTCCCTATTTGTTGTGGCCCTGAGCCGGCCGTAACACCGGGGTCTATTCTTCCTGTATGTGCTTTTTACCTCATGAACTTCTCCATGATCTCCTCCACCCACATCTGCAGCCGGATGAAGCTGATGCCGTAGCGCCACCAGAGCCTGAACAGGTCCAGCAGGTACCAGTCGGTCTCCTCCAGGATCATCTCGTCTCCGTTGAACACCGCCGTTTTCCCCGCGACGCTGCGCCGATACTTCAGACCTGAGGAAAACAAGATAAATCAGCTTTGATACATGTTCCCGGACCTCAACAACCCCATGATATACAATACAGTACATATGCTGCTTTATCAAGATAGTATGGAGGATTTAGCCAACGTTAAATAGATAAATATCAGGAAAAATCCGAGGCATTCTTGACATTAAAACACAAATCCTTTAATGTACAGGGATATGCACCGTGTTTTGGTAGGGTGTAGGGCCTTCTTCAGGGCATGTGATAATAACAGGTACCAGGAGATTAGTAGTAAGCCATGTCTATTTTCGACATTGTACAAGAAACAAAACTCGAATATCAAAATTTTGCATAAATAACCCTGAGTTACATTTGCAAAACATGAAATTATAAATATAATAAGCACAAGAGAAACACTTGCAGATACTCAAAGAAGTGGGAAGAAGACGAAAACTTCTGGAGGAGTGGTTTGAATGTAATCTGCACTTGATCTACACATAGCATCATAAAAAATACTGAAAATACAACATTCACGGATTCATAACGGATTCAGATAAATACGCAATTTCGAACGACATTTGAGTGAGAATTATCAACCAGACACATAATTATCAACTCCACATAAACATACTCAGAAATAAACTTGTAAAAGGTGCACAACCACAAAACAAATAACAAGTTGTACACTGATAACTGAAGACAACTATGCCATTAAAATAGAGAGAAAATGAATTGATTTGTTATTCAATACTCATGACATTTAGAAATGTCTTTCATCCGTAATCTATTTTTGCACGTAGAGGTAAGAATCTTTCAAAATAAAACACATTCATTAAAGGGGATGTATATGAGATATTTCTGTCCTCACACACAAGATACAAACTATACATAGTCTTTTCTGATGCAGAGTTATTATTAATTTTAAAACAACTTTATGTAGAAAATCTTGAGCAGCCTTCTCAGTCAGAAAGCAGAATGTGTCTTGGGTTGGAAAATGGATGGATGGAAGAAAGTCAGAAGTGGAGAGGGAGGATCCGAGCGACTGGGTCAAGTTGAACTGAAATCGAACCTTAAAAACAAATGTCGGTGACGGTAGAGGACCCACTGCTGCTTAGTGATGATGTGTGGAGACAAACAGTGCATATAAACTGTTTAAATAAGGGAAAAATTGGTAACAAAAAAAAACAAAGTAGAAACCTTGAATGGCCTAACAATACATTTGGTTTGAACCGAGGTGAGGCTTTTTGACAACCAAGCCAAAATGAACAGGAACATTTAGATAAAGTCTCTACAGTAATTACATTCAAGCTTTTGGAACACAGGCTAAAAATAGAGAGGAAAACTTGGTTATGCCGCAAGGACCGTTGCCATTATGCTTAACTGTCAAAATATTATAGATTTTCAAAACAAAGAAGGTCCTCAAAATGTGGCATAAACTGGAAGCAAAAACAACAATACATTTTGTGAGGTGCAGTACTTTGACGTACAGTGGGGCAAAAAAGTATTTAGTCAGCCACCAATTGAGCAAGTTCTCCCACTTAAAATAATGACAGAGGTCTGTAATTTTCATCATAGGTACACTTCAACTGTGAGAGACAGAATGTGAAAAAAAATCCAGGAATTTACATTGTAGGATTTTTAAAAGAATTTATTTGTAAATTATGGTGGAAAATGAATATTTGTTTTTGACCAAATAACAATTACTATAGGTCTTTACCAGGTTTGCACACACAGTAGATGGTATTTTGGTCCATTCCTCCATGCAGATCTTCTCGAGAGCAGTGAACACGGACATTCAACTCCCTCCACAGATTTTCAATGGGGTTGAGGTCTGGAGACTGGCTAGGCCACTCCAGGACTTTCAAATGCTTCTTACGGAGCCACTCCTTCGTTGCCCGGGCGATGTGTTTGGGATCATTGTCATGCTGGAAGACCCAGCCACGTTTCATCTTCAAAGCTCTCACTGATGGAAGGAGGTTTTGGCTCAAAATCTCACGATACATGGCCCCATTCATTCTTTCCTTAACACCGATTAGTCGTCCTGTCCCCTTAGCAGAAAAACAGCCCCAAAGCATGAGGTTTCCACCCCCATGCTTCACAGTAGGTATGGTGTTCTTGGGATGCAACTCAGTATTCTTCTTCCTCCAAACACGACGAGTTGAGTTTATACCAAACAGTTCTATTAGTATTAGATAGCAATATGGCCTACGTGCAGGACTGTACAAGGACTCTACAAGGACTCCATGTTATGACTATGATGTGACTGTCTCTTTGTGACACGTATGTCTTTCGATGTGTGACGTGACAATGACTATATAAACTGTGTACTGCCTTTATTCTGTCTGAGAGAAAGAAACAGAGTAAACCAGTGGAACTTGAGAGAAACTTAAATAAACTTCCAGAGTTTGGCACACCACGATCCGTCTCTGTCTGCTAAATCCTAACAGATTTGGTGGAGAATGCGCGGCTCGGTTTGTGCCATTCTCTGGATTGTTTTGAGGGAGTTTTGCTCTGTTTCTTTTCCTCTGCGTGAGAGATCGGCATGCTGTGTCTGGGAGCGGAGATTCCAGCAGGCTGGAAGAGCTGTTCCTGGATGCTTCTTGTCGCTTCTGTCACTTTTGTTGTTTAAATTGAATTTTTCGACGCGGAAAAGATGTTGGTCGACCTCTCGAACAGTCCGGACAAAGAATTAAGGTAAGCAGACACCTTTTTTAATATGTAAAGTCTGCATAATTGGATACTAGCTAAATTTTGAGCTGTCCCGGAGGTCTGTCCAAATCTCTCTAAATCAAATTTTCTTTGTTATGTCTTTGTCACGTCTTTGTCATGTCTTATGTTGTAGAAAACAGGTTAGCTGTGTGGGTAACCAGTCCCTATAGGAAAAAGGAACCCCTGACGTATCGGGGTCCCTGTCCTTTGAAGTAGTCAGGACAGAGAGAAAGGAACCCCTGACGTATCGGGGTCCCTGTCCTTTGAAGTAGTCAGGACAGAGAGAAAAAGGAACCCCTGACGTATCGGGGTCCCTGTCCTTTGAAGTAGTCAGGACAGAGAGAAAGGAACCCCTGACGTATCGGGGTCCCTGTCCTTTGAAGTAGTCAGGGCAGAGAGAAAAAGGAACCCCTGACGTATCGGGGTCCCTGCCTTTGGAGTAGCCGGGGCAGAGAATAGAGAATAGAGAATAGTTAGTGAAACCATGGTGTAAACATAAAAGCAATAAAAAGGGAAACGTGTTAAGGAGGCCTTTTGTCACAAAAAGTTTTGTAATTAACCAATTCCAGGCTTGATAAATGACAAAAGTAAAGAATCAACAATATTTCAGTGATCACGGTTTAAATTACATACAGAAAAAGGGAGTTTTTTTTGTTTTTTAGTTTGTTTTTGGCGTGAACAGAGTTCACCGGAGAATGCAGAGTTTTATCTAAAGTTGAGCTATGAGAGCTTTCGTGAGTTATTTACATTTTTTGCCGAGTTTTATCTACAGTTGAGCTATGAGAGGGTTGTATCCAACAGTTGTTTTTGTTTTTTAGAAAGAGATTTTAAGTTTAAATTAGTTTGCTACCTCGATAAAATAGACAAGAGTGCCTTTTGTTACTAGTGTGGAAAGTGATCACTTCTAGACTTGGATGACAAAAGTATAAAGAACAACATCAGTTATATTCGCTTAACAAAGTAATCTTGAAAGTTATTCTTCTTTCTGTTTTAGCATTTCTTGCTAAAACACTACTTTCTGCCTGTGTGTGTGCGTGTCTGTGTGAAAGGAACCCCCCCCGCCCTCCTGCTGCTGCTGCTGCTGCTCTGATTTAAAGGGGAGCTACTGCTTTTAGGAATTTGGCTTTTCATAGTTTTTATTCCGTTAAATTTGCAAAATTTGCCATTGAACATTGTGTTATGACACAGTTAAACGTTTTTAAACACCATTAGTGAATAAGTTTTGAATATTAGTATGTTTTTGAAACCCAAATATTAGTGCTAAAAGCTGTGCAATTCTTTTTAGACCTAACATATTTCTAGATTCCATTCTTTTTAAATCTGCTGCTTATTTCTTAACTTTTTGTGAGTTGTGTTTGTTTTTATGTTTTTATTTTAGTTACAAAAGCCGTTTTTCAAACATTTAAATTAGAATCTGTTAAAAGTGATTATTGATTATAGACTTCGTCTAAAAAAGAAAGAGGGAATTAGGCTGTAAAAGTATTATATTATTAAGTTAAACTACCCAATTCACATGCAAGTGGTGACTTTTGTTTTTGTTTTGACTACACGCCTGACCTTGTTGCTCCAGCTGATGCCACAGCAGAGGAGACTGGTCTAAAATGTGCTCCAATTCATACTGACTTCATTTGAAAAATGCAGCAATTATTTTAAATTAGTAAAATATATGCTGAGATAAATGCATAGATAATTAATCACACAGTGCAAAAGTACATAATACATATTTTAAAGTTTAAAAAGTTTAAGAGATTTGAGTCTTGTTTTTTATATTGAGAGTTTCTGGTCTTCAAATGTCATCATTAGTAAGATAATAAGTAATCTTTTATTTACATAGCGCTTGGGAAAACCCAGAGCGCTTCAAAATTGTTTTGACTTTAGGGAGAAAAACAATCTCATTCACAATCTCTGTTTTTAATTTGACTATAAGGTTGTTTTCCAGAACCAAGAGCACACACTGTACAGGGTCACTGGACTGCTGGACACTAAACAGCGCAAAGCCCACCCAGCCACAGGTCACAGATCAAAGAGCAAAGGGAAATGCCACCTCCTTGCCCCTCCCCCCACTACAGAAGTAAGTGGGAGTGAGACCGGGGCCATGAAAGAGAGGTATCTGGAGACGTGATGGGTGGAGCATCAGGGAGAGACCTGAATGAGAGTTGAGAGTGTGTCCAGTTGGTTTGCATCACCACAGTGTGACCTTTGACACCTACAGGTGGTTCGAGGAGTCTTGAGACACAACCCCAAAATTCACATACACACACACACTCACACATTCACATTTACATATAGATACATGAAAAAGCAGAACATGAGAAAAAGCATTTTAAAAGTTTACTCCAATGTAAACACATATTTTTAATTGTCTATCACTTGAATCTTTAGTTGAATCAGTATTTTTTGAGACCAGAAATGTTCATTTGAATTCTATATTGTCATGGATTAATTGACGTCTGTCCTGACACTTTTGGTTTGTTGATTTTGTACTGTGTGAAGTAATTACATTGATTAGAATTAGATCTGATAAAAACACAAATTAGAGAAGTAAACTGAATCATTGCGCTTGCTTTTTGTCTGAGGGACATTACCAACAGCATGAATAGAAATTGTGTTAAAGTAGAATCAAAGTGACTTAACCATAGAGAGTAACTACTGCATAACAAGCTGTGTACAGGAACTGCGAGACTGCGCCACCATTGACCAGATGTACCTGGAGTGACCAGAATGAACCTGGAGAGACCTGATACCCTGGCTTGGACCCTACTGATGACCAAGATGACATCTCTCTATGACCTGACCTGATGACGACTGAGACTCACCCTCAGGGGACCCTGAGGACCTGAGGACCTGAGAGAGAAAACTGGGGAGTGATGTTTATATTTTTGAAATCATACATAGATGAGTGCTAAATGAGACAGATACTCATGATTCTTTCTTTTGTTTTTGTTTGTCCCTAGCTTCTGGACATCTGATGATCTATTGGACACAGCCATTTGCAGAACAAGAACCAGCCAATGAAAACGTCTATTGCCGATGCTATTGCTACAACCAGAACCTGTGACCAAATGCAATATAAATGTTAAGTATTCAGACATCTGACAGACAAAAACTTTGAAAATGATAAAGTATGAGTATTGTAGCGTTTTAGTAGATGTCAAATAGTAGTAAAAGAGTAGAATTTGACTTCCTTTGTTTTTCATAAACACATTTCCACATAAGAGTTAAAATAGTACCCTACAATGTTATCCTTCTGATAGAGCAGATATAATATTAGAATCAGAGTTATGTTACAGCCATTAAAAGTGACAGAAGTCACAAATTAGGAATATGCCTTTGCTCAAGCTGCAGCCGAGCTTTGGAGTTAAAAAATAGCGTAAAAATAGGAATAGATAAATGCATCAACCATAGATGCTTTCAAAAATAGAAAATATTCTTAGCCAGTGTTAATATCAAATGGTAAAGGGACCATTTCACAAACATTTACTTCAAAAGTAGATAAAGTTAATTACAGTTTTATGTACAGTTTTATTAGATACTTGCCAAATTCACTTGTGTTCACACATGAGTGAATGTTGACAATGCAAAAGTTCATGAGTGTAGCCTAGATTAATGCCTAGATCAATGAGATAGATTACAACCAACAGAGATTCAAAAGCATTTAAAAGCATTTTGATGCATTTGTGTATAGCACAAAAACACAATAGTAGATATTTAGATATTGAGAAGTTTCCAGCACAAACACCATTGTAGAATAACTGACCCCAACCCCAAACCTGCTCAAATAGATTAGCTCTTGTAAGGATAGTTCCAATTTGATTAAAGATGTACATTCATCCCAAACTGATAATGAGAGTATAATACCACAGAGAGATTTATTAGATTAAAATGTATGTTTAAGAATATGGCTCAATAGAAGCAAATATGCAAACATATTTGTGAATAGATTAGAATAGTTTTAAACTATAGTGAATCATGAAAGTAAAGTACACAGTCTAAGATTGAAAAGTGAAAATAATACAGTGAAATAAGTGAAGTGTAAACAATTAGCATTAGAATAAAAGTATAGAGTAAGAAAAGTGAAATTAGCTTCAAATTTGAGACTCAGCACGTTTTTGTCTGTGTTTTGACTGAATCTGCTGAGTTCTTGTGTGTCCAATAGTGTTTGTTTTTATTTTTTGATTTGTTTTTGTTTGTTTGTTTATTTTTTCCCAGGATAGAGGATAAAATCCACTGATATTGATTTGATGATTATGAGTTTAATGCATACATTTTCTTTGTTTTTAATAATTTTTTGAAGTTTTTTTTGGAATTTTTTTTTTTCTTTTTCAATTTTATTGATTGATCGATTTGAGTGATCACATGTGATTATGTGATCAAAGGGGAGGGTATTAGTATTAGATAGCAATATGGCCTACGTGCAGGACTGTACAAGGACTCTACAAGGACTCCATGTTATGACTATGATGTGACTGTCTCTTTGTGACACGTATGTCTTTCGATGTGTGACGTGACAATGACTATATAAACTGTGTACTGCCTTTATTCTGTCTGGGAGAAAGAAACAGAGTAAACCAGTGGAACTTGAGAGAAACTTAAATAAACTTCCAGAGTTTGGCACACCACGATCCGTCTCTGTCTGCTAAATCCTAACAGTTCTACTTTGGTTTCATCTGACCACATGACATTCTCTCAATCCTCTGCTGTATCGTCCATGTGCTCTCTGGCAAACTTCAGACAGGCCTGGACATGCACTGGCTTCAGCAGGGGGACACGTCTGGCACTGCAGGATTTGATTCCCTGTCGTCGTAGTGTGTTACTGATGGTAACCTTTGTTACTTTGGTCCCAATTCTCTGCAGATAATTCACCAGGTCCCCCAGTGTGGTTCTGGGATTTATGATCACCGTTCTCATGTTCATTTTGACCCCACGGGATGAGATCGAGGGAGATTATCAGTGGTCTTGTATGTCTTCCATTTTCTGATAATTGCTCCCACAGTTGATTTGTTCACACCAAGCTGCTTGCCTATTGTAGGCACACTCTTCCCAGTCTGGTGGAGGTCTACAATTATTTTCCTGGTGTCCTTCGACAGCTCTTTGGTCTTGGCCATAGTGGAGTTTGGAGTCTGACTGTTTGAGGCTGTGGTCAGGTGTCTTTTATACAGATAACGAGTTCAAAAAGGTGCCATTAATACAGGTAACGAGTGGAGGACAGAAGAGCTTCTTAAAGAAGAAGTTACAGGTCTGTGAGAGCCAGAGATCTTCCTTGATTGAAGTGACCAAATACTTATTTTCCACCATAATTTACAAATAAATTAAAAATCCTACAATGTGAATTCCTGGATTTTTTTTCACATTCTGTCTCTCACAGTTGAAGTGTACCTATGATGAAAATTACAGACCTCTGTCATTATTTTAAGTGGGAGAACTTGCACAATCGGTGGCTGACTAAATACTTTTTTGCCCCACTGTATATGTGAATGGAGCAATAACATAGATAGGAGCAAGTTCGTATATGATTGTGTATTAATTTGTGTATATGGATGGGCTTATAGCTCATTTGCATCTGTAGTTATGTTTTCTTTAACCGTGACTACCCATGTCTTTAAAGAGAAAACATTGCATATTATTTTTGGCCATTAAAAATAATTATGAGCTGATTTACTTCATGTTTTAGATGTGAAAAAATATCTTCAGTAGAAAATATTTAAAAGCATTGAGAGTAAAAAATGTGCCTGCCCTATTCCTATGGTACCACCAGAGGGAAATCTTTATTTATTTATTACAAAGTTTTATATTTCTGGCAGCAACCACTGTAATATGCTTGTAAATAATGTAATTTCACTTTTCCAAAACAACATTTTAGGCGATACTTTTGTTTAAAAAAAAAAAAAGGCATAAATGAAGAATAATGTAACATAATTAAAATCTAAAAATTAAAAAAAAACGTCAGAATTTGTCTCCTTAGAACTAAAAACAAACCTCTGTGTGTGAACCTACCGAGCACTTTGACAAACTCCTGCATGTGGAGGTTGAGCGAGTGGATGATGGAGCCTCCGGACTCGTAGTCATGGTGATTGACCGTGACGGTGGCCAGACGACCGCCCACCTCCCCTTTCTCAAACACATCGACCTGAACCTCGGGACCAAAGTGCTGCCGCAGGAAATGAGCTGTGGAGCTGCCGCCGATGCCCGCGCCCACAACAGCTGCAGCAGAGACAGAGCAAAGCAGGTGAGGAGAGTTTCAGAACAAAAATGTGAAAGATTCAGATACATTTCAAAGGATGGATGACTTCTTTATTCACCAAAACATGGGTTAAGATGGGGTTTATTGAAGTAGATTTTTCATTGTTGTCTGAAGTCATTAATTATCAAATAAACGTGATTTAAAATTTCAATTTATAGCATTATTGATAGTTTATAAGACTACTTTTTTGTACTTTTTGTTATTACTGTTATGTTAAGTGAGCTTGTCATCACAATTCATTAATAATAATAATCATCTTTTGTTAGTCCAAGGTCACCCAAAGCGCTTTAAAATGGTTGAGAATTCAGATATTTTTCCATTCTCTCCACACGGTGATGACAGAAGTGAGACGCTAAACACACAGGTATCAAAGCCCGGACCAACACTATTCACTCACTCACTCATTACATTCAGACATATTGTAAATGTTATTAGTGGTAGGGGAAACCAGAGCACCTGGAGGAAACCGGAGCACCTGGAGGAAACCGGAGAAGATACAGCAAGAACATGCAATCAATGTCTCCAAACATGCAAAGAGAATGGAGAAGTAATTTTCCACTTGATGTTTTGGTTATTGTTGCTAGTCTTTATTAAGGACACAATATGATATGGTCCATAGATAAAAAGAAAATACATGCATACAGTATATTTCATACATAGCTCATCTAAAGTTATCTGAAGTTATCGAACGGTCAAAGCAAATTTATCTACTGGCACCGTGTCAGAACTGCTGTATTTTGGTATAAAACCATGAGACCACTGGTCATGTTTCCCACCAAAACACGATCCAAGACCTCTGCATCTTTTGTCATTTGTTCAACATCTCTGGAGAGATCTCAAATGTGCAGATAATTCAAGGTGACCCAGGAATTGGAGGGTTTATGCCAAGAAGAATGTGCAGATTGATGACCAGACAGGAGAAAGAACCTCATTCCCAACTACCACAGAAGACTCTCAACTGTCACAGATGTTAAAGCAGAAATACATACTATCAAGAACTGGGGGATGGAGACTTCTGATCAGGGTAATTTTGGGAAGATATAGTTTTAATGATGGTTTCACGCCACCACTGGCAATGAGTGACCAAAACTTATGGCTGCATGTCACTTCCTGGTTGGACACAGGCTGCAGATAAAAGCAGTTACTGTAACAAGCACAAGACAAACAAGAAGCGTGGCTCGGGAGGAATAAAACGTGGCACTGCATGGAAACAAGCAAATGACTTCAAAAGCAAATATTCAACAGTGGAAACAGGCGATGGTATCTCCAGAGACAACCTGTGTAGTGCACCTTTCATGTCTGGATTTTTATTAGGCGCATATATAGGGTTGCCAGTTTGTTATGAGAACTGTGGCTGGTTTTGGCCTTTTCTTTTATATAGAAATACAAAAACAGCACCATACCAGGTAAAAAACTAGTTTGCCATATGTAATGCACTGAGTGTGTACAGTTTCTAGCTAAACTCAAGCAGGTGGACTGCATCAGTAACAGCACGGGAACGACATGTGTCACAGACAAGAAGGAAAATATGTGAAAGAAAGCGTACTTGTAATGACTTTAATTGACCACTAAGAGAGCACATTACTGTCCCTTTAATCAATGTCGCACTGTTATCCACAAGGTCACACAATTTACACAATAATATTTCAATTGACAGGACCCACTGCTCCTAAAAAGATAAAAAATGTCATATGTAAAAGATCGAAGAACCTCGCAGCGCAAATGGACAAGACAGTAGGAAATAGCACAAATCAAGATCATTTGTGGACAATATTCACCAATTAATTCAGATTTGTAGAGGCATTACTACAGCACTTGCAAATACCAGATAAAGCATGAAACCTGATCATCTCATATTGAACTTGGCTTGCACCATAAGACCTGACTTGTCTTTGCAGTTTATCATAACAACATTTAAACAGTCCTTGCCTATTTTCGAAGGCGGAGCTCCATCCACATGTGACGGATCAGCCTGGTCTCCCACTGCGGCAGATCTCTCCAAAAGCAGGACAGCGATGAGCACCACAACCCCGTTAGCCATGGCTTTCCTTGCCCCAAAAAGTGCAGTCATCAGCGGCTTCGAACCAGGACGAGACCGCCGCACATTGGGCTAGCTAAACCGCTGCCGTTTGAATTAGCTAATATCGATTACGCAGGCTGCAGTCGTCGATTTTTAATAACAACAGTGTACTAACTGTATGTTTTGTTTATATCGTAATGTAACGCGGGGTTTAAAATAGGGCAGTGGAGCCTCAGATGTTGCAGGTGATCGATTGATGGAAGTTTACATCCGGCAACATCACGTGACCGCTCGATTCGACCAATCCGAGCAGGCCTTTATCCACAACCGCAAATTACTAATATTTTTTTAAATTGTATCATCTCCTGCCGTTTCTATTATTTCAATCGTTCAACTGAAGTCCTGTTAGATCAGTTTCCTGTGTATTTTATTTCGAAATAAACGTGAGTTCAAATGATGCAACATTATCAGTAGGCATCTTATGTTTAAGTGTAAATGTGAGCACAAATGCACATAACAGTGACAAATGCTTGGGAACCTGGTGAAAATCTCCAAGCAGCATTTAAATAAAGTAGATAAAGAGATATTGAGTGGACACTCGGTGGACAAATGTGCAAATGTCAGTATTGCACATGGTTGCACATGGTGGTTTACTGCAGCAAACATGACTCTTTCTGTTGTCAGAAACAAAATGTATTTAATAAACTAAAGTTATGTCGTTGTTTGTGTTTTCCAAGTTGTCCACAGGCTGAAAAGCATTACATCATGACATTCCATTACACATCTTCTAGAATGTAGTTGGATGTTGTCTCCATGGCGACAGTCAAACCTGCAGATCCTTCATTTGAGCTGAGCAGTTGAACTAAGCAGTCGCACACGTGTAGAGCAGGCGGATTTAGGTCTACAAAACTTTTTCAATAATCTTATTTTTGACACGTGAACAGGTAAGTGTTATTAAGACATGTGGGAGTGATTATAGTTCAGGTAAAACTGATTTTATCTGTAAATACATTTGTTAGAAGGAGCTAACGTTAGCATAACATCAGTCAAGTTGTGTTTCAAACAATTGCAGACATAAAATAAATAAATACTATATTTAACATGACTTAAAGCTGGGGAACCTGAGTAAACCATAAAACCATGGACCTAACGACTCGTACCCAGTCGTCACTCGACTGAAAAATATTGGAGAGTGTACTCTCCTCGCTAATAACACGCGTATTTCAAGTTAGCTCCTGACGCAAAGCTCGGCGAGTCTCTCCACGTGACGCGTGCGGTGTGAGCGAGCGGTAACGGTCTGTAATAAAATCCATGTGACGAGTTTCTCACTCTCAAAACAGTTTGATTCATCACTTGCTTTCACATGGATGCATTTTAGACCTGTCACATGTTTAAACCTGCTTTTTCAGACAAAAAAGGGAAAAAGAGGACCCCTCACTCACAGCCAGAGTAAAATAGTGTCTCAGTTTAGTGTTGGATAAGAGTTGTTGAGTATGGCTCTTAACACAGTTTAAATAAAACAGGTGTTATCGATGATAAAAGTGTTTCAGAGCTTTAGTTCAACATGAAGTGACAGGACTGTGTTAAGGCTGAAACAAAGCATTAGACTGCTGGAGAATGAAAACATGCTTGATTTAACAATATTATTACAGTTAGAATGACCAGCAGAACTATTATGATTAAAAATGAGATGAATAATAAAGTAATTTGGAGTTTGTGAATAACAGCACAGTCTTATTTAGTTTATATATTTTGAACACAAAACATATAACACACAAACATGTAACACACACAAACACATAGACAACACAGAAGGCCTGTAATTTTAACTTTGTTATATTTTCCATGTCCAATTACAATTGTCTCATGAGCTATTCCTATTGTTGCAACTTCCAGAGCCTGCAGAACATGCAAAGCTTTTTTAAGAGATTTTTCCTAAAAAAAAGAAATCCATTTCCAACTTTAGTGTTTACCACGTGGTCTGTATTTCGGGCTTATCACAAATGGTGTCCCCTATATCTCTAATGAGCTCTTGTCACCTAAAAAATGTTTATTTTCCTTATTTTTTTTCTTTTTCAATAAAGCCAGGTCGGATTCATTAAAAATGTAAATTAGTCTCAAACTTTAATACTTCACCTTTGTTTCACGATAAAATGTTTTTGTTGCTCATTAAGTAGCACAGATAGTGGTGCCTATCTCAATAAACGTACTCCGTTAGCCTATCTTCCCTACACTGCATGAATTTTCAAACTCCAAGTTATTGTCTGGGAACGACCGGAGAGAGCAGCTTAGGTCGTTCGCGTGGTTGACCTCCAAATTTTGTGCGGGCGTCACTATCCACTTGTTGTGGCTAATAACTTAGCAATCTCAGGGTTTGGTGTCAATTTCCAGTGGTAGTTAACTTTTGGGACCGGTGCCTCCTTTTATTTATCTATTTTTAATTGAGTCTGCACATAAGGTCTCGGCCTAGTAGGTTAACCGGGGACAATGGGGAATATAGAAAAGAATGTTTAAGCTGGTTGCCCTGAGAATCAAAACACGTTAGCGGTGACGTAAATTGCTCTTTAGTCGTCTCTCCGACGCTGCTAATTAGAATATGAAGCGGCCGCTCATTTTAGGGGAGACAGAAAGGCTGTCACTTTTAGCACAGAATTTGTTGCCCCGGAGTCATCCAGAATTTTAACTTTTACACCACAGGTTGTTAGCGTATATTACGGGCATGAATTATCTCTAAAAAGTGCCAATTGCAATTTGTTGTTGTTCAAACTTACATGAGCGGTCGCTTTGGTGACGAATGTGAACCCGGGTTTGGTCAGTCACTCGTGTTTCCTCCACGCCCGCCTCGCCGTCCTCTGGCCCCGTGTGAGCCTCTGCCTTTAACGCCTCCTCCGGTAACAGTCCTTCGACCCATGTCGAGCACACAGTCTTTCCGCCGGGCTGTGGAAGTTTTTCAAAGTCCGCAGGAGGCCCAGGTAGCCCAAAGCGTTAGCCTGTGGTCCATGAGGGTTGGTGAATAACCCAAACGTGCCGGTACTTTTGGCTTCTTCTGTTTGCGGTGCGGGAACAACTTTCAGGGGGGTTTCCGCGGGTGCGTTTGGTATATCACGCTGCCCCCTCCGTGGAGAACAGTCACGGGATTTGGAGCAGTTTCTCTCTGTGCTCCAAAGCAGTTCTCGGTGTCTCACATATTTGCTTCCCCGCTTCTTCTTCTGTGGTTTCCTGAGCGTGTGTCTGTTTCCGCCTCTTCTTCTTCTGCGGTTTGGGCCCACTTCTCGCGGGGTCTCAGCTGGTGCGGGCGCCGCCTGTGGTTGGGGCGTGGGGCTGGTGCTTTGAGGCAGAGGACAGTGCGCGGAGGAAAGACGCCGACAGACCTGGATAGGGAGAGGAAGAGGGACAACAGTAGTCTGCTCATTTTTTAAAAACCCAACGCCTTGTTTGGGTGCACACTTATTGTTAGTAGGGGTAGGGTGGGGGTGTGGGGGATGCGTGTGTGTGTCCGCCTCTGTGTTCTCCGCTTCGGTGAAGGGCGGAGGAGCTATTGTTTTTACATATTTCTTTCTCTAACCTCTTTTGCCGTGATATTCTTAAAACCAAGTATATTTTTTCTTCCCTTCTTCTTCTAAATTATCACGCAAGATGCGTAATGGCCTGCACCATAGGCAAGCACTCCATAGCTTGCATCTCCTAGATTGATTTTTACCCATTTTCTCGTACGAACAATGGGCCTAACCCGCTTAGTCTCTCCCTGCTCCTACCCACTTTGGGGCGCTCCATTCCCCCCTCGCTGGTTCAACCAGCGAGCGCGCGTTCTTGAAATGGAGCGGGTCTGGCTGAAGACACTTGGAGAAATTATCAGGGTCGCCTACAGGACGATACTAACGCGCAGCCGCTAGTTTTCAATCTAGAACAAAAAGCCCCCCAAAAAATCCCGCACACAGACTATGCTGTGGCAATGAATGAAATACCCCAAAAATACATAAATAAACAAATCCCCGTGTACACTTAAGTGCTGCCCTGGGCTCGTTACGCAGATGAAAAGACAAGACTCACCAGATTAGGTTCTTTTTGGTCTTGTGTGGCAAAAGGATTCCTTCCGTGCGCGGACGAGCGCGCCCTCCTTTGTCTCCAAAAAGGAACAGAGGCTGGTGATCCAGGTCGGCCAAACAAGGCCGCTCGTCCCCGCCGAAAGTATCCATACCAAGACATGTCAGCAACGCCAAATTGTTATAGAAATATATACCCCATGAAGGAGGAAACTCAAAGGTCCTTTGTCTGATCAAAAGCGTAAGTTTATTGTTAACGCACAGTGCGGAGGGCCAGAACATCCACTCAAAAGCAGCATGTCCCAGCTCTGGGGGCCAGAGCCCCCAGCTTCCTGTATACAAGGCACACACCAAAGATAGTCACGCCCACAACGGAGCGGAGGGGGCCACCGGTGAGGAGGCGCACAGGAAGCGCCGGCGCCATCCCCTGTGGTGGCAGTGGCATGGGGTGTGAACAGACAGACAATGGTGGAAATGCAGGTCATACAGATGCAAGACGGAAAGACACAAGGGTGTGACAGACAGCAGGGACCTTCACAAAGCTCAGCATGGCGTCAGAAGGTTGTCTGCATTGATAAAAGGCCTTTGACGTCCGTGTATTTGCTGCGGCTGGTTTTATGTAATTACTCCAAAAACTGTCACCACAGCGCTCCACATCTGGACAGTGTTGGTGATGAGGAGGTGATGTCACGCTCCTCTCTGTGACCGATCCTTGCTCACCGTGGATGACATCACCCGCCGACCCCGTCCCAGAGGCCACACAGGGCGCTTCAGTCACGCTTTGCTCTCGGAGAGTCGCTCTGAAACAGCAGAGGAGCAGGACACAGCTGTGGGCTGCATTAGGAATAGGACGTGACATGAAGAATACAAATTATCAAAGTAGTATTATTCTAGCCTGGTCTTATACCATCTGTAAACTCTGGTCAATTATAATTTCTACTTGTACGTCTGGGTTTGATCCTAGTGTCTGCTGTTACC